ACTCTTACTCCAAGGATACGAAACCCCCCTTTTTTTTCTTCTTCTTTTTTTTTTTTTAAAAAAAAAAATTTAACTAAAGGATAAGGGCTGCAAAATAACTCTCATTTCAATTGCAAGAAAACACCGTCGTCACACACACCAAACTTAACCCAAAATACTCACGTATACTTCTCATATTCGCCATTTCTATCCTTTAGGTAAGAGTGATTCTAAGAATTAACACCAATCACTAGCAGTGGACCAATCACAATTTTCACGAAGAATACTCACCCACCAACTCCTTTCCACACGGCAGTTAATAAACTTACCACCAATAACTACCAATAACCTCCACAACCTATCAACGTCAACTTAACTAGTTCTACTCTTACGTGGTGTTCACCAAAATCTTCCAATAATATGTTCTAAGTTCATTATGGGCTCTTTCACGACTAGGTATACAACTAAACCATACTTTAACACCTCAAGTCAACGAGCTAACTCACATCAACACCTACTCCTTATACCCAACACACCATGGAGCCTGCTCCAAAATTAGCACACAACACTACACTAGTACTCCGGTGATTCACAATGCCTAACCTATACAAAGTAATAACCCGATAACACCATCCACATAGCACTAAGCAACGATACAATCCATTAGGCCAATTAACAGTTTCTATCTCCTATCAAGTAGGCACTTCACAAATTTAATTTATTTATCAACCAACCATCACACTGTCATATTCAACCTCAAAAGTCTGCCTGAAGAAAATAGTCAAACCATTCCTATATAAGATTTCCAAAAGTAATGATCGTGAGGCATATTTCAACCATTCATTCCGAAGACACCGCTAACATTCCCACAAGAGTAAGGCACATCCAAGTCACCCAAAAATAAATTTCAAACTAAAAACAACAACAAAAACATCCTCCACACTAGCTCCTTCCTCCAAGGAAATAGTCTAACTAAGAGAGATACAAAATACCATCACCAACAGATGCTCTTAATTAAAACCAAAGGTAAGGAATATATCGTCCTCTTTTATCAAGGGAAACCAAGTACCCTTGAATCGAAGCTAACTCCAAACATTCAAGATGGGGTAAACACAAAACCAAGCACAATGGTAACACTATACCGACCCACTAGCACCCTCAAATTTCCTCCACATCCACAGTATAACGGATAACTAAGTCAAAAACTTAAACTCCCAAAAGAAAATTTAAGATAACTCTTACTTGAGGAAATCTCCACATTTGCATCCCAACTAGTGACTAACTTAACATAACTCAACCTCATAGATGAGATACAGGCACCAAAGTTTGTCTTTATCTCAATATTAGAAACTATGTCATCACAAACACTTCTAAACCCAATCGAAATACTTATGTACACCTTTAGCCATTACGAAACTTTTATCTCATAGTCAAAAGAAACCACCAAAGAATTAACATCAATGATTCTCAAACCATCAGGCACAGATTTGCATGAGGACACACCGATCCGACTTCACTGATCAATCCAACACACTTTAGTCACACGCTCCATTGAACCATAATAGCCTCCCAAGTTAACTCCAAGAGCTTATTCTAAGAACATTTATTATGCCATCACGACCCCCGATATAATAACTACACCACTCAAGCACTCCAATAATCAAGCATCAAGACCAATTACTTATGCACTGGACCATAATTTCTAGAGAGCAACCAATTCTAGCACTCAATATCTCAATCGTTAATAACAAATCACCAATCCTCAAGTCACTATCTCCACTACCAGAGATTCAACACCACAATTACAACCTTTTTCATTTATTCTCCACAGTCTAATTTACCTCAAAACTCTACATTTAAATCACTTTCTAAAAAAAAATTCTTTGTGCACCCACTATAATCCCTACCGTGCCATAACCACTCACACTGCCACAAAGGATTCGAAAGTATTACTGCCTCTCAAGACATGCCAACCACCACTAGGGCAAACCTATGCCAACTCACCACCAATGCTAACACCTAACCCATGTGACACACCAAGGTTCCTGCTCATGATTTTCATGCTCTACACACTATCCAAACAAGCATTTGCACAAATATCTACTTTTACATAAGACCATCCACATAATCATGCAATCACATAAAGCACATACAGGCTACCCTCCTAAGACACTAGCCAGTCTCATGGCAATCAAGGACCTCCAAGTGGAAAAACCATTGATCAAATGCCTTTCCAAAAGGATCTCGATGAGTGCAACAGATAAAAGCTATATCTTAGAAGTTAACCCCATACACATATAACCACATATATACATAAAGCACACAAGGCACGTAAATATCCCATCCTAGCCTAGGAATCCCATTATGATGAAAGTCACTTCCCACGAGCCTAAGGTATTCGAACCTAATGCTCTGATACCAATTTGTAGCGCCCTGCTATTTCATACATAAATCCATCGCAACCAATATAACAATACACCCCAAAGCCATCCTTTTCACTAAACTAAGAACTAAGAATTAAAATTTATAACTTCTCTATTTACATGTCCTTAGAACCTTGTACCCGACTCCAAGTTCTAGAACAAGATGACAATTACAATAGAAGAACCCTATGGGTGTACAAGACAACAACAAAATAAGTCTAACAGCACTATTACAAAACTCTAAGTCATTACAACAAAATATTCTCAACTGTCAATCCCAAAACCGCTTACTTCAAGTCACCACTGTAGTTGTACAACATTATTTCCTGAAAAATAGAATATGGGTGAGCTATATGCCCAGTAAGAATACATTCAAGTCACAATTCATTTACCATATCAACATCCACATCTTTCATCTCTAGATTGTTCATAATATTCCATGAATTTAAGGGTGTGCGCGGTGCGGTTCGGGCGGTTTGAGAGCAAAATTACAAACCGAATGGCGGGTTAGCGGATTGGCGGGTTGACAAATTGCGGTTTGGGCGATTTTTGGCGGATTGGCGGATTTAAGAATATTTTAACTAATTATCACACATTTGCATAATATATAACACTAATTTGTATAATATTTTTTAGATATATAACACAAAGAAATATTACATAATATGTTTCATATATATAACCACTAATTTGTAATAAATTTCATATTTTAAATCTTTTTCACACTCATTTTTACATTGATATTTCATTGAAAGTTAAAAAATATATATGTATTAACTTTAGCGGAGCGGAGCGGTTCGGTTGGCGGATTATAAATTTTAAAGTTTAAACCGCGGTTAGCGATTAGAGTGGTACGGATTGATGCGGATCGGTGCTGTTTTAGCGGATTGGGCGGTATTTTGCACAGCCTTACATGAATCAAAGGAAATTCCACGCAGTTCAGTGTTTTCTATTCAAATTGAAAAGTTAGGGTTTTACCAAATTTGGGGGTTTCTCTCCTTCATCATAGATATAGGTTTTAACAACATTTATATATATGTTTTTAGAAAAAGAGTTAAGAAAATTCAAGCAAAAGTCAAGCAAAATGATTTATTTGTGTAAAACATGGGTTTAATCTAAAAAGATCCTCAAATTAGCTTATAAGTCACAACAATACCACAAAATCTCTTTAAAATAAAGAAATACTAGGATAAAAGTATCCCTACCTTAAAGAAATGAAAAGAAAACTCGGACCCAAAGTTGATGAAATCTCGAAGTCCTTGGATCAAAAGTAAGCCCTTGACGCGCTTTCCAACCTTCCTCAAGGGACCTAGGCGAGAAGATGCTTCTAGATTAGTGGATCTAGCTATCTAAGTGGGAAAAAATTGGGTTTAGAGAGAGAGAAGAGAGACTCACGGTTTGAGAGGAAAGAGAAAGAGAAAATCATGAGAGAGAAGAGTGTTGAGTCTATTTATAGTAGTAGAAAAGTAGCCCTAAGGTTATTGCAAAGAATAAGCCCAAAACCCTCAAAAGTAAGGCCCATTCGGACCCAAAAATTTCAGAAATAACATGCAGAGGTCGACCCTTTGGGCAGAGGTGACGACCCTTTAGGTAGAAAAGACAATCTAGCACAAGCAAGGGGGGTCGACCCTCAGACAGGAGGGGGTCGACCCTAATTTCTAGCAACTAACACAAAAATTTTGCAATATAAGGGGGTCGACCCTTCCCGGACTGGTGTCGACCCTATAGAAAACCAGCAGAGGTACCAAGAATTCAAACAGGTATAACTCTCTCGTTCAGACTCCGTTTTAGGTCGTTCTTGTGTCCAAATCGAAGCCTTGGAAACAAGATTTCCAATGGTTCCAGCCTCACATTCAAATTCAAAGTATGGAAGGAAAAAAGGGATAAAGAGTAAAGGTTGGTCAAAAACAAAAACTCAAATTTTGGGCTTTTGATCTAATCTTGCCTAATACCTTGTTATGGCTTCAATCATGGCTCCAAACATTCCCCAAGGATTGTCAATTATAATATTTAGAGTTCACTTTCCAACCCATCAATGCCACGAGTCCGACAACCATACAAGTTTTAAGGTGACGGGTACTAATTTACACCAATCCAATACGAAATAGAATCCGAGTCATTACAGCAAGGGCAGATTCATTAATCTATTCGGCTTCTATTGATAAATATATTAACAATCCCCATCTGATCGGTAGATTTGTTTCAATGTGACGTTGCAAGCTGTATGTTTTATTCAGCTCTTCAATGTTCAAAATTGACACAAGACATGATTATTCGGCTTTGGAACGACTTGTCCATATGATTACATCACCCTACTTGGCTAGCCGAGTTTGGCATTGAGCTGTATATTTAATTCGGCAGATTACGTTCTAACCGATTATGTTATCGTCGAATTAAGTTATACCACCCTACTTGGCTATTAATTAGCACATGCAGAAAGATTATGTTCTAGCCGATTATCTTATCGCCGAATTAAGTTATATCACCTTACTTAGCTATTAATTAGCACATGCAGAAGACAGATAAAAAGGCGATTTTCATTAATAAATTGAGTACAAACAAAATAAATAAGCAAAAATCTACAAAAACTACATACAGAAAACACCAAACAAAAAGCAAAATTACATTGACACTGCTTATTCTTCAGGATTAGACTACAGCGGCTCAACCTCTAGCTGCTCGTATGGAATTGGCTACTCCAATGTCACATTAGCGGTAGCCAAGGCTCTGAGCCAGCCGCGTTTGAAGCCCTGATTTTCGAACTTGGGTACTTCCTCTACGTATTTTTCTAAGGCAGCGTTTTGTCCGCCTTGGAACACTTTGGAGATCTCAGAGACAACGATTTCTTTTGCCTGCTTTGATTCTTCCAAATCAGCCTCCAGTTTGGTAATCACTTCCTTGGATAACTTGAGTGCATCATCACTCGCGTTCGTCTTTTCTTTGGCGGCCAGCCTGAGTTAATTAGAGCATTTGGCCTTCTCTTCCACGACATTGGCACGACATTGGCCCTCGCTCGCTCTTCTATCGCTTTTCTAGCCTCGGATTCGGCTTTAAGAGAGGCCTCTTCAGCCTTGCCCTTTTTCAGTTTCGAGTTCTGCTTTGAGCAAGTCGATTTGCTCGATAACGTCATAATGACGGCAGCCGATTTCTGTGATCCTACCCGTCGCCTGTAAACAAAAGATTAATAAGATAGCTGGCATAAAAATGAACGAAATATTTTTTCAAAGTTACGTACCAATATCGCCGATTGAGCAGCTAATGCTATTGACACCACATCTGGCTATGCACGGAATGCTGTTTTGTTAATTGGCAGAGAAATCGACGAGGCCACGCTTAAGGCCATGGCAGCATCCTTCAAAGTCGAAGCATCAGAAGCAACCAGCTTGTTCTTTATTCTAGGTTGTATGATAAACGGCGAAGCCAAGTCCTACGACTCTTCTATGCACGACCGTTTATCAGTTTAGTTGTCAGAAGAATCGACTTCGTGCTTGGCGGGCCGTTTATCCCCCTTTTGTTCGGCCACCAGATTGTCCGATTGATCAATGGCAATTTGCTCTGTTTCGGCCATGATAATTTGCTCTGTTTCCTCAACAGGAGCAGGCGGAGAAGACATAGCCACAACAGGAGAAGATGGTGAGGGTTCAGACTTGGCGGCTTCGGCCTTCCTTCGGGTTGCCATCTTCTCGGCATTTTTTCTTCTGGCCATCTGTGCAAGTGACTCCCCAGCTATGTTCTCAGGATCTGTGCCGGGAAGGTCTCCTAAGTCGATGAAAATATCGTCTTCTAATGATACGTCGACTCAGCCTGAAGTGGACGTAAAGTTGAAGCCGGCTTCCTCAAAGGCCAAATTAAAGGTCGCGCCAACCTCCTTTCCTAAATTATCAGATCTGTCTAAGTTGGACTAATTCGGCTGTTCAACGACTTGTTCGGCTACCTGCTCGGCGACCTGCTCTGAATCCGAAACTTCAAGACCAATCTCCCTAAGGTTCTTGAAATTTGGGAAAATGAGTGTCGTGGGCTGCTGTTCGCCCTTTGGAATCAGAATGTGATCCGCGGTCAAAAAAGTAGTGTATGTTGGCTCGTACCGCAATAGGACGTAGGCGACCCTCCCTTGCTTTTGGAGGTTTGGATGGCCGAAGAATTGGAGCGCAGTCTTGATTTGCCCAAGCACAACGTCGTCGCCTGAGATAAGTACTTTTTTCAAATCGTTACCTGCACAAATAAAATGATAAGTATATGCAATCTAAGCCGAATAAACGTATAACAAATGCGCATAGAAATGGGACTATACGGCCACCTGGTTCACCATTTTGTCTAGGAACAAGATCTAGGTGATTTTCGCCTTCGCCGAAGTCCCAATTGCCTCGGACGACGACCATGACATCGTCAGCACACTTATTAGAGCTGGCAAGCATAGTCACCAGGTGGTGATCAGTGTCCTTGGCCCTGAGAAAGTAATGTCCCTGCCGACCAGATGATTTTGCCAAGGCATAACAATGCCGTATAGCAGGGATTCCTAGATTAATCCTAAGTTGGCGGTTTAATTCTACTATTCCCATTATGATTCGGAAAAAGTTTACGTTAGGTTGTGAAGGGAGTAGACTCCAGTAACAAAGGACGACCCTAAAAAATGGATGAAGGGGGAAACAGACTCCACCCTTAGCGAATGACATGAGAGGATAGATGATCGTACTCTCATTCGTCCTCTCCATGTCGAGTACGCTATCTGCCACAAGTGACAAATGGACGTCATCTGGAATGGAAAAGTGGCGTTGAAAAGCAGAAACACAGTCCGCGAAAAGAAGAGCTTTCAAATGTTTTGCCATCCGAATCAGAATGGAAAATACACTAAACTAAAAACAAACAAGAAAATGGAAATTGGTATGAGGAAGAAATGCAAGGAAGAGAAGAACTTACAGGGTAGAGAGAAAAGGACAATGGGAAGCAGATAGAAGTTACAGAGGTTGTGAATTCAAAAGAGCTTTGCAAATTCAAAAAATATTCGAAGGGACAATGCGACTTCATATCGCATTAAATGAACAACGCATACGAAGGGGCCGAAAATTGTAATGATTTCTAAACTATGGTTGTTCTGACGCTTCGGTATTAGAAGGAGTGCAAGCGCCGTATTTTTGACTTTCCATATATTAAAACCAAACATGCCGATTAATTGGCGTTAGTCGAATGTTTGGGGGGCAATTATGGGGGCCAAATAATCATATATTGAGGAGGGCCAAGATATTTGAAGACATTTGGCCAAAGTCAATTCGGCTATAATCTAAAGGCTCTTGAAGCTGAATATACAGTCGGCCATATGAAGAGCCGAATGGGAACCAACATGCAATCGGAAGGCTGAGTAAGCAATCAAGTGCGAGATTAAGAGTGGGCCTGACCCTTGGGCCCAAAGGGTAATATAAAAAGAGGAACGTCAACCAAAGAGAGGTATGTGAGAATTGATAAAATAACTTGAGATAGAAGTAAACTTGAGAGCATACTAACTTGTCCGTCGGAGTGCTAATTTCGGCACCCCCGACCGGAGTGTTCATCCCTTTTTCAGGTAGCAATCAGAGGATCAAGGACGTCTTACTAGATCTTGGAGTATTTCCAAACCACTTCTCCACAACTACCAAAACAAAAGGAAAGAGCAAAAAGAGTGCAAAAATCGGTATCCGTCGCATCAGGTGCATCGAGAGGTCCTTTTCATCATCTTCTGAGGACAGGACTCAGGAGCACTGTCACCATCAGCATCTGTCACGACCCAAACCCACCCCTATAGGTTTAGTATCGTAACTAGCCAATAATCTTGGGATTACAGAAGGCCTCTGAGACAGATTAACATAATATTAGGGGCTAGCGGAAGCAAATAACAAATATACAACGTCCATTGAGCTGTGCAGACTTATATGAGACCAAAAATTTTAAACTTTATTTCCATACATTTACACATCATCATATATATAGGCTAGACAAAAGGGGACTTAGCGTTAAATACAGAATAAACAAAAACACTTGTTAACCCAAAACAAGAAAACAAAACTTTAACTTTATGCACATAGCCATAACCACTTGACATATCCAGAACCTCCATGGGAGGCACATAGGATGGCTGACAAAACAGAGTCCAGACATAAGCTCTAGGCCTTGTCACGCGCCTGATCACCTACATACATAAATAATACAATGAACTAGAGCCTAGTGAATAATAACAAAGTAAAGGATTTTAATGAATGATGTCCATCACAGAGTTAAAAATTAGAGTTTATATCAAAAACAAATTCATATCCATGTTCGTATTCGGAAATCAGAGTTCACAAATAATCATACATGGTACATCCATTAGCGCTAGCAATTCCGATGACCCATAATTAAGACAGCCAAAAAGGCATTCCGATGGCTCATAAAGGGACGGCCATAAAGGCATTCCGATGACTCATGCGCACAGAGACGTTTCCGATGACCCATAAAGGGACAGTCATAAAGGTATTCTGATGACCCATAAAGGGACGCATATCATATGATGCTAAGGATACCATGAATACATTTCAAAAACTTGGACAGTCATTTATTCATACAAAACATAGCATTTCAAAAAACTGATCATTCATATAGCATTTTAGAAAACTGATCACTTCATATTATCAAAAAATAATTAATGTTAAACATAACTTTACAGAGTTATTACTCACAGATAGCTTCAGAAGCAAAACAAACGGATCAGATAGAAAATAGCAACCTACACAAACACATAACATATACACATTGAAACATAACATCACTACCTTGATCAAACTTAACTTTTCTTGTCTTTTTCTATTTAAGTAATCCGAAGTTTTACTACGCTTAATCTTTCCTATTCAAATGAACCGAGTTCTCATTTCACATATTCTTTCATTACTAAGTCATTTTCCAAATAGACCGATTTCTTACTTAGCTTCTTACTCAATTATTATTAAATCAATGACTTATTCTTTAACCAACGAATTTGCATTGATTGTTAGCTTATTAATCTTTATTGAGTTAGAAATCATGTCTAGAATGCTTGGGAAGAGATGAGAATAAAAATATGAACTAAATGCAATTTTCCAAAATATGCTGAAAAAGAGTTGTTCGCTCGATCGAACCTTTAGTAGCTCGAGCGGTCTATAAAAGATTACAAAAATACAGGAAGCCTTCAATGTGCGCTCGAACGGTAATTAGTCTACTCGAGCGGTCTGTAAAATTCGTGAATTCTGAATTTCTCAACAATGGTTTCCAAATGCATTTTTCAATCTTTAAACCCATATATCTTGATCAAAACCTTGAAAACACTTTACAAAACATAAACACTTATTCATTTATAAATCATTTGCTCAAAATCTCATCAAGTTGTCAAGACTTAAATCAAACTCCATGCATTCAAATATTTTCAAACTTCTTTTCCTTTTGAAGAATAATCAGAAATTAAACACGAGACTCATGAATTTTTGAAATAAAATTCAATACAAAAAGCTTCATATAACAAATCTTTAAAATCCAAACTCAACATCATGAAACATAAATATTAATTAATTTATTTAAATCAAAATTTTAATTAATTTCAAAATCAAAACCCATGAACTCATGGTTTCTAAAACTGTTTTTCAAAATCAAATGTACAATAAAATTGCATGTAATTTATGAAGCTTAATTTAACTGTGACTTTCAAAATCAAACTCAAAATAATTAATTTCTAAATTAACTTTCATAAACTTGAACTTAGCTCTACAGTTGTTTCATCACTTGAAAGGGTAATTTATTTTGACAGTCATATGCTGGCAAAGCAGGATTATTACTGACAATGACATGAGAAATTACTCCAATAGATACAATTTCGAAAAATATATAATAGTTCTTTTGGGTTAAAGGATCACATATTTCTTTTTTTAACATTTCAGTTGGAAGTAGTGTTTCAATCAACTAATTTGTTTATAGATCAAGACAAGGTAAAGCTGACAGTAAGATCCAAGACAAAGTTCCCATCATTATATATACATATAAACACAAATAAAGATACAATTACCCATGTGAATAACACAAAATATTAAGCATGGATTACAGACAACTATTCGAATAAGGTGACTGGTGATGAATACCTAAACAGTTCATGGGCATATATGAAATAGGAAGAGTAATTTTATTAATAAAAAATCCTAACGGAAGTTCAAAAAAAATATTTTATAAGGAAGTCCTAATTGAAATGTTTATCACACCAACTTATTTTTGTAAGAAAACCTCTTATATTTTCTCTAAAAGATGGTTCAGAATAGCTCATCACACTCTATCCAATTGTATACAGAAGGTGATGATAGAAGTCTAATTAATCCATTTATAAAAAATTCAGATGCTAAATTAAAATAAATCGTAGTATGGGAATACATGTGTTAATTTGAGAGAGAAAATGATATTAACTCTTTCGGAAAACACAACGTGTGGGTAATCTCATCGG